AGAGCAGTGGACAGCAGATTGGTCAGAGTGGAGGAGAGCAGATTGGGAAGAGAATTTTGACAGCAAATTTGGGCAGAGCAGTGGACAGTAGATTGGTTAGAGCAGTGGACGGCAGATTGGCCAGAGAAGTGGACAGCGGCATCAGCTTGGATACTCCATTTTGATCCTGACATTTCGACCTATTCGGGTGTCACCCTTTTGAATGGTTGATAAATTGACTAAATATACGTTCAATAGCTCTCCTTTGTTTCTATAGTATATTGGGAGTGGACTCTGTTTCTATTGTCTATAAGGAGTGGACTCTGTTTCTATTGTTTATTAGGAGTGGACTCTGTTTCTATTGTATATTAGGAGTGGACTCTGTTTCTATTGTCTATAAGGAGTGGACTCTGTTTCTATTGTATATTAGGAGTGGACTCTGTTTCTATTGTATATTAGGAGTGGACTCTGTTTCTATTGTATACTAGGAGTGGACTCTGTTTCTATTGTCCAAAAGGAGTGGACTCTGTTTCTATTGTGTATTAGGAGTGGACTCTGTTTCTATTGCATATTAGGAGTGGACTCTGTTTCTATTGTATATTAGGAGTGGACTCTGTTTCTATTGTATATTAGGAGTGGACTCTGTTTCTATTGTATACTAGGAGTGGACTCTGTTTCTATTGTATATTAGGAGTGGACTCTGTTTCTATTGTATACTAGGAGTGGACTCTGTTTCTATTGTATACTAGGAGTGGACTCTGTTTCTATTGTATACTAGGAGTGGACTCTGTTTCTATTGTATATTAGGAGTGGACTCTGTTTCTATTGTATACTAGGAGTGGACTCTGTTTCTATTGTATATTAGGAGTCGACTCCTCCAATAAATGTCAGACTCTACCACGTCTCCCCGTCCTTGTTGCACATGGGTGCCACATGGGTGCCACATGGGTGCCACATGGGTGCCACATGGGTGCCACATGAGTAGATCAACTCCTGACATCGTTAGAGGATAGAAACAAATCTTCCTGTTGCGCCCGACGACACTTCCGGTCTGGGTATTAAACAAATCATTCTTTTTGCGCCCTAGGACACCTCCAATTTGTTGATATCAACACCCCCAAAACAAGTTTAGATCTAATTGAAATTGAACAAAACGAACGCGTTGAACAACAAATGTCGAATCGAGCATTTTGTCATCAGTATTCACAGTTGACATTGCCGTGGACGATCTCTGATGCCATGTAGGCCAGCATGCGGCGGTTGACGCCCCCTTTGTGCATGGGGAACTCCTCGAAGAAGAAGACGTAGGTGGGCATGTGAGGGTTGTTGTCGTCGTCGTACGTGCCGCCCAGCTGGTAGCGGCAGAACTCTTTCACGCGGTCTATCGTCACCGAGTCGTCTCGGCGGGGTATCACGCATGCGCACATCTGAAATGAAATTCGGCACAGGCGGGCTTATGTAATGATGTTTTAAAGTATACACATTTCAGTTTGTTACAGAGGCGGTACTACAAGCATGCTTGAGTTAGGCGTCACTGTAAAGTAAGAGTAAGACACCTACCTGGACAACGCCTGGTCACAAGATGAACACCTGCCTGGACAACCACTGACCACAAGCTGAATACCTGTCTGGACAACCACTGACCACAAGCTTAGCACTTAGCACCTACCCAGAGAACCACTAGTCACACGCTGAACACCTATCTGGACAACCACTGGTCACACGCTGAACACCTACCTGGACAACCACTGGTCACACGCTGAACACCTACCTGGACAACCACTAGTAACACGATGAACACCTACCTGCACAAACACGGACCACACGCTGAACACCTACCTGGACAACCACTAGTCACACGCTGAACACCTACCTGGACAAACACGGACCACAAGCTGAACACCTACCTGGACAAACACGGACCACAAGCAGAACACCTACCCGGACAACCACTGGTCAAGCGCTGAACACCTACCTGGACAACCACTGGTCACACGCTGAACACCTACGTGCACAAACACGGACCACAAGCTGAACACCTACCTGGACAACCACTGGTCACAAGCTGAACACCTACCTGCACAACCACTGGTCACACGCTGAACACCTACCTGCACAACCACTAGTCACACGCTGAAACCTACCTGGCCAACCACCAGTCACACGCTGAACACCTACACCTACCTGGACAACCACTAGTCACACGCTGAACACCTACCTGGACAACCACTGGTCACACGCTAAACACCTACCTGGACAACCACTGGTCACACGCTTAACACCTACCTGGACAACCACTGGTCACACGATGAACACCTCCCTGCACAAACACGGACCACACGCTGAACACCTACGTGGACAAACACGGACCACACGCTGAACACCTACCTGCACAAACACGGACCACACGCTGAACACCTACCTGCACAAACACGGACCACACGCTTAACACCTACCTGCACAAACACGGACCACAAGCTGAACACCTACCTGCACAAACACGGACCACACGCTGAACACCTACCTGGACAACCACTGGTCACACGCTGAACACCTACCTGGACAACCACTGGTCACAAGTTGAGCACCTACCTGGACAACTCCCTTGTAATCTTTAATGGAGACGACTTTGACCTTCCAAATCCCTGGACACTGATTGACCTTCTCTTCAATGTCCCTTGGAAATATGGCCGTGTCGCTGCGAATGATGGCATCCACCTTCCGCCCCAGGACGAAGAGCCGATCTGCAAGAAAACGCGTGATCTTAAAATAAGTTGTAGCATCGATGCACGATAAATTAATGTGATATTTTTTAATTGATATTAATATAGTTCGTTTCGCTTAAAAATATTCATAATGAGGTCACCCACGGCGTGGAGAGAGAGAGAGAGAGAGAGAGAGAGAGAGAGAGAGAGAGAGAGAGAGAGAGAGAGAGAGAGAGAGAGAAAGAAAAGAGAGAGAGAGAGAGAGAGAGAGACAAATATAAAAAATAAAGAAATATACATATATATA